CTTCTTGGACAAATGTTTAGTCTGACGAAGCCTTTTAAATCAATTTTCCGTCTAAGATGCCTATAGAAATGTACTTAGAACTGATTGTAAACGAGATTGGGGATTTAACTGCGCTCTCCAAGTGTGCTTGTTCCCCCCTTCTTCCTTACCCTGCGAGTCTCTGCGAAATAATTCCGATATTAGGGTCTCCCACAATATCGAATTTGGATATAAAAGAAATTTTTGTCAAGTGTACAACTTTTTGATTTTGTGGCATTTTTTCCTATTCTAAATCTTTGGACAGACATCAATATAATATTGGTTCTCACCATCGTCTTGGGTATGCAAGTTTTGTGTAACTTTTATTTTCTTGGAATTATAAGTTGCTAATGGAGAAAATATTGTTTGATAATTTTGTTTAGGGGACCCTGAATGACTTGTATATATGAAATTCAGTCAAGGTTTGCGCACTTGGAATGCATGGAAATATGTACGCCGAGATATTTACATGTATTGAAATTTCTATTTTGAGGTATAAGGTATCGTTATCAATTGATTTAAAGCATGTTTAGGAAGTGTTTATAAATTGTTTAAATTATAAATAAATATAACTAAGTGATGGATAAGTAAATAGTACTTGTGTGCCTTTCAAAATGTGTGGATAAAAGTTAATTGTATATTTTTAAGTAATTTATAAACATGAGCTGAGCATAATCTTAATGTATCATTTTCAGGAGCCTGAGAAACCACCTAGTTACGACTTCCTCAAGGGAGAATGTGTTACAAGAGTCCATATAAATTTACAAGGGTCCCTAGAAGAGGAAATTATTTCCTGCACTGTATTTGAGAGAAAATATCGAAAATCCGTTAGCATTCTTTAATATCTCCGAATGGTTGACATTACAATCACTTCCTCTGGGCCAGCAGTTTCTTGGTTTAATCCTCTTGCCGGAGTTTTGTGCCATTTAGTGAAGTTGAGTAGTTTATATGTGAAGAAAGAAAGGAAAAGGATGAAAAATACGAGGGAAGTTCGAGAGAAGTGACTAAAGTGGAGTTTTGTAGCTAAAACTCATCTGGAAATTCAAGCTTCCACCAGAGTTGGTATTCTCTTCATTCCGGCACCTATATTCTCGTCCATTGTTTATCTCATACCAAATACTTTCTTCGTCCATTGACTTGAGCATCAAAGTTGTCGCATTCTGCCAAGCTATGGCCACTTGTAGTCCAACGTTTTGTCCAAGTGTGCAGATAAAATATTGATCGATGAAAGAGGAGCTGAGATCTCTTGATTACGTCCTGTCGAATTTTGAGGTCAAAATAAACAATAATGTCCTTGATTCCTAGCAAGTTTGATGAGATGAGACACGTCCCCTCTTGCATGATTTTTGTCAATAACATCAATAAATTTGTATAAAATCAAATGATAGTACAAATATGTTATTTTCTATGGAAAATGCAATGTGCCCAGGCCCAAAAATAGGGCTAAATCCAGGTGCCGAGGTGGCAACACCTCGGCCTTTGGATCTGGAAAAAAAATAGAAAAGATGTGAAATCGGGGGCTGAGGTGGGTTTTTGAGCTTGACATTGAGCCTGGCTGGCTCAGTAGCACGGCTGATTTTCTATTTTCTTTAGTTTGATTTCGTGTAATCTTGGAATTTTCAAAATGATTTTACCTTTCTGAGTGAAACTTCTTCCCTTTCCATAGAGTTTATTGAAAAGTTGATTAAAACCTGTAACTAATTGAGTTAAATAAAACTCGTATCTTTCCAAAGGGAACAAAAATATTAAGTGGAAATTACACAATTCCATACTTTAAAAATTCACAATTCTAAAATAAGATGGATAGTTTAACCTTTCAAAAATCAGATGTTGTAAATTAATTTATATGCTTAAACACAACCATTACCATATCTTCACCATTCAAACGGGTTTCTCTCTCTCCTATCCTCTTCACTCTCTCTTCACCATCATCTCTTTACACTTTCAGATCGTCGTCGACCAACCTCTCCTCTCTTCTCCACTCTCTCCTCACCACCCATATCTCTATTCTCAGATTGTCGCCGTCGCCGTCGCTACAGCAATCCGAATCGACCGCGCTGTGTATGATGATGCGGTGTAAGTAGCGAGGTGCTCGGCGGTGGTGTTTGACAGCGGTGCACGTAGCGAGGCGCCAACGACCTTTCTCCATGGGCGCGCTGCAAATCGGGCCTCTTTCCTCCATTTTTGGGTGCGGTGATGATGTGCAGTGGTGATGGGTGGTTGTGTGCGATGGGTGATTGGATCCGGTACTGTTGACCAGTGTTTGTGTGCAGTGGTCTCTCCCTTCAATTCGCAGCGTTGATGGATTTGGGGTTTTGTGATTTTGGTGTGATTTCTCTTCTCTGTTATTATGGTTGCTGAAATTGAAAATGTTTAAAATCTATGACAGTTTTGAACGTCAATTCTGCTTGTTGTTTTCCTATTGTCTAAATGCATACTGTCGTATTTTTCTGGTGAATCAAATATTTTGATTGTGGCGGTGATGGTGGTGGCACAAGCATTGGGTGACGGTTCGGTGGTGACACAAGCATTGCGATGGTAGTGACAATTCGATAGTGATGGCGAGTGTGGTTTTGCATGGTCTGGGGGTGGTAGTGGTAATGGTGATGGTGATGGTGATGGTGATGGTGATGGCGGTTGTGGTGGTCGTGGGTGAGATGAGATCGGATTGGATGCTTGTGACCAATTATTTAGTTGATTGTGATCAATAATTGATTGATTTGTAATATGTGACCTAGAAATTGTGACAGTGACTCAAAATGACTAACTTGTGATCGAAAAATTAATCGTGACCAACTAATCTAATAATTTGCAATGAATAAATGAGTTGTGACCAATAAAAATTTTGATTATGTGACCAATGAATAATCTGTGACCTATAAAAAAATTTATTCGTGATCGAAAATAATATGTGACTTACAAAATTTTTGATTTGTAACTGAAAAATAAGTTGTGACCAACAATTTGATAAGTTGTGACTAAAAATTAATCTGTGACTAGATAATTTTTTGATTTGTGATCAATGAACAAATTATGACTTACAAAATTTTTGAATTATGATCGTAAAATAATTTGTGACATAAAATTTTTAATTTGTGACAAAAAAAATAAAAAGTGATTAATTAAATTATTCATTTGTGACCAAATTTTATAGATCTGTGACCTAAATATATTTAATTAATAAAATATTTAATTAATTAATTTGTGAACAGTGTGGTGGTGGTCGTGGTGGTGGTAGTATTGTTGTAAGCGGTGGTCATAGATTATTTTGTCAATTGTGACTAGTGAATTGATTAATCAGTGACCAATAAATAAAATAAATAATGCATGATCAATGAAAAAGATAAATTGTGACTAAAAAATAATGTGTGACCTAAAAAATTAATAAATTGTGATTGTTGTGACCTATAATATTAGTGATATGTGACTTATAAGTAAATTATGATTTTCGATTTGTGACCGTTTGAATAGTTGTGACCAATTATCTACGTGATTGCTATTAATAATTGGATATGTGACTTGATAATTGTGACTGCGATCTCTGATTGTGACTTACAATTGATTAAGTTGTGATTGAAAAGTTAATCGTGACCTGAAAATTGTGATTGTGACTTTCGATTGTTACTCACTTTTGATTAAATTGTGATTGAAAAAAATAATTGTGACCAATTAATTCAATAATTTGTAATGAGTAAATACGTTGTGATCAATAATATTTTTGAATGTGACCTATAAAATTTGTGAATTTGCAATAAAAAATCATCCCGTGACTTATAAAAATTTTGATTTGTGACCAAGAAATAAGTTGTGATCAATAATTTGATAATTTGTGACTAAAAATTAAATCGTGACTAATTAATTCGATAACTGTGACCAAAAATTATCCTGCGACTTATAAATTTTTTCATTCTCCATTTTTGTTATAGCTATTGCAGTCGCTGAAGCAGCTATTGGACCGGAATCCTCTTTTCGACTCTGACTCTCCCACTCCAATCGTTGCTTTTCTTTCTGTTACTTCGAAAGTAGCTGCTTAAAGAATAGGGAGTGGATAGGAGATAATCGGTATTAATTTAAATATCTATATCTATCACGGCTAACTATACCCAATCCTTTATCATATTAAAGGACTTATCAATTTTTTTATTTGTGACCTATAAAATTTTCGATCTGTGACCAATAATTTGATTAGTTGTGACTAAAGATTAATCCGTGACTAATTAATTTTTTG